TGCTGGTGCTTAAAAAAATCGCGACTCCTCCTTCCCTCTCGGCGGCACATACATATCCTCTCGGCACATACATATCCTCTCGGCGGCACACACATGCCGCCTCTCGGCGGCACATACAATTATTACCAAAGTCTTTTTCAATTAGTAAATTTATAACATCTCGAGTCTAACAACTTATTCTCCAACGAAAACGAAAAATACGAAATTTCAATCCCTTTGTTCTGCTGCTGACTTATTTACCGTTATAGCAGAAAAGTTCTATCGTTCATTAGATGGAAGCGATGAGGCAAACGCTATTGCTCTTGATTATACCAAAAGCATGTGTTTAAGTCTGGAATGCTAATCTTGTCAATGAGCTAGTTATATATAGTGTATCTGGAAAAGTTTATTAAATAATTGAATCATTCCGTTCTAATTGTAATTAGTTTATCCTTAATGGATAACACTCTTCTTGATTTTCAGTAACTTCTGGGATCCCACAAGATTTCTTGGACTTGTGTTGTATTAATAATCTTCATAATCATTATCATTCTTATCTTTCTTTTCATTATCATTCTTATCATTCTCTATGTAACTATATGCTCCAGCTTTGACAATTGTCAAGTATTTAGACTCTTTTTGAGTTCTCTTCTTTTACCGAGTCTTCTATGTCTTCTCGAATTACTTTTATGAAAACCGTATATACAATCTAGTACAAAGTTAGCATCTGTTTTGGTTGCCTCTCATTATAAAGAGATAAAGAGAATAATTTATCATTTGAAATGGCGAAATCGTCATTTTTCTTAAATGGCGATTTCGATAATTATCGAAATTTCAAACAATTTCGATGAAAAATAGATGGTGTAAAACCAGCTTCAAATTTGAAATTGCAAACTTCGCAACGTGCGGTTTTATGTAACGCAACTATTTTTATTCGTTAAATCTCTTAATGTAAATATATTTAATTTGTTTATTATAAAAAAATGAATTTACCGTTTACGTTATAAATATAGATTTGACGATATTGGCATATAAGTTAGTGTTAACCAAGACAGTTTTTTATTTTTTTTTTAAAGTTGAGCTTTTTACAAATAAACAAATATAAACATGCGAAAAACGAGGTAAAATAAATAACATGATTTGTATTTCAGACTTTATGAAAAATCGTACATAGCAGTAGCTACAGTTATTATATTTAGCTAGCCTAAAAAATAGTATTTTTAAAATCAAAAAAACTTTTATCCAGGAAAAATTTCGACATTCAATAATCTTGTATATAACATTACAAAAAAAATATTTTTGACCTATATCATTAGTATTAGTATAACAAAGTCATACAAACTAAAGTAAATGTATCTTTGTTATATTAGTTGGTCCAATGACAAATATTTGTAATTTGTTATTTAAATAACCTAACCTAAAAAGTTAGAATTATTAAATAGTTTTAAGACATTTAAAAAAGTTTCTTTTTGCTAAAATATGTTAATAAAAATAATAATAATAATAATACTATTGTATAATAATTATTGTTATTACAGTCAGTAGTAATATGCATGTAATTAATCATATTTTAAAATAATCTTATATGAAAAAAAAATTATTCTGCACTTCTGTACTTATATCTGCTTGTTGTCTGTACATAATAATAAACAATATGCTATTATTAATAGCATATTGTTTATTATTATGTACAGGCAACAGGCAGATATAAGTACAGAAGTGCAGAATAATTTTTTTTTTCATATAAGATTATTTTAAAATATGATTAATTACATGCATATTACTACTGACTGTTCAACAACCCATCCATTAAGAGCAAAAAGCATAACTGAAATAATCCCTTATGATAATTAACAATGGTAATCTATGCCCTAAAACTACGCTATTATACTTGTCATGACCGAAAAAGATTTTATAAAATTTGTTTAACTGGAGGTGTGTCATTATTAAAAGTTTATAGGTTTGCCACAGATATACACATAACAAATTTTATAGGTTTGCCACAGATATACACATAACAAATGCAATACAAATCAATAATTTTACATTTACACTGGTAGAGCATAAATAAAAACAATTAGTTACTTTTTTAGTTGTATTGAGATAATCTGATAGGTCATTTTTGATTATATAACTGAGGTATTGAGTACCGAGCCTGCTCAGCTTCAATCTGGAAATAAATTTGATAGGAATTTAGACTTATTACTTAGATTAAATATCGTACATACATTTTTTTTGGCATTAAAAGACAAGAACATTTCTTGTTTATAATGCTAAGTTATTTTTGAAGAGAAAGCCAACCAGGACCAATTATTACCATAAGATCAATGTAGACTACCATATTTAGAAAGACCCCATCTAAATTACATCCATAAAACGCTTTTAAACACAACAAGAAAAACAGCTAGTGTTCTAGCCACATGCATAAATTAAAAATTGATTTTCACAATAAAATACTCTCAATATATATATATATATATATATATATATATATATATATATATATATATATATATATTTATATATATATATATATATATAATAACTATAAATGCATATAATTATTATAATAACTATAAATGTATAAATTAAAAAAGTGCTAATTAAAATAAAGGTTTTTATAAAAAATTATATATATATATATATATATATATATATATATATATATATATATATATATATATATATATATATATATATATATATATATATATATATATTTATATATAGCAATAATAAGTATTTTTATATTTATTATAGAGAACAGTTAGAAATTAGGCCAGGCTTTATGAAATAATTTTTATCTCCTGTATATGCAAAAGTATTTATTTATATACAATTTTACTATTGTTATTATTCTTGTTGAGTATATATGTATTATTCATCTTTATTTTTTTAAATAATTTTAATACTATTCAACTTTTATTATTTAAATCTATTTTTCGTTTTAGAAATGAAATATGTTTTACTTCAGTTTCTGTTTAACTCTACTACCATGAATCCTTCAAAATGTTGTGCATGTTTTTTTTGTTATTGAGAGTTATTTTATTGTCTGAGTAAGTTTTTTTAAAGTTAGTACTAAAGTATTATTTTTTGATTTTAATTTTTTTTTATTATATAAAATAAATGTTTATCAAATAAAATAATAAATCTAAATAGATAATAAAGAGTTGTTTTAAAAAAATATTTTGATATTTAATGTTACTTAAGTTACAAAAATAATAAAAACCGTTTCAATTTTATTGCCACTTGTTGTCATTCATCAACTTTTGGCACAGTACGTGTGTACACAAAGCAATTTGATACACTTTGCAGTTCTTAAATAAAAATGCATTTTTCTTAAATTAATTTAGGATAGTTTTAAATGTTGAGTTCTTTATAAAATTTTATATAAAAAAAAACTAGTGTTAGTATATTGTAGTTTATCTTTACAACATTGTCAAGATTTACTCTTTTAACATTTAGCAGCTTAAAAATGTGATTTAGATGTTGCATATGTATATATATATATATATATATATATATATATATATATATATATATATATATATATATATATATATATATATATATATATATATATATATATATATATATATATATATATATATATATATATATATATATATATATATATATATATATATATAATGCATTTTTAACACCTTAACAGCATATTGTACCTTTTTTTATATAAATATTATTTTCAATTATATAATAAATGTAAATTCTCATAACAAGAAATTTTTATCAATGGGTTAGTGTTGACCTTAACATCTAACCACTTATAACTAGAAACAACTGTATTGTCAAATAACTTTATATAATTAATTATAACCACAAATTGCTTTTAAAAATAACTTTTGTAAAGATATCTGCAATGAAGATTATATATAACAAAATTTCTTTATTTTAAATAAATTTTATGCTATAGTTTTGTATTCAAAAAGGTATTATTTTAACTGTTGTTTATTGTCTTAATTAAATGTTTAATAGGTATTAATAATTTTTAAATTTTATTAGGAGTACTATCATAATCTACTTAATAATTCTTTGTTTATAACATACATCAAATACCACAATCATAAAAATTTGTAAAAGGTTTTAAAATAAAAAATTGTTTTTTATTTTGTTTCCAGTTCTTATTGTTAATAATAAAAAAAGTTGTTAAATTAAAATAGTAATAATAATAATTGTAATAATAATAATAATAATAATAATAATAATAATAATAATAATAATAATAATAATAATAGCAATAATAATAGTAATAATAATAATAATAATAATAATAATAAAAATGATATTAATAATAATAGCAATAGTAGTAATAATATTAATAGTAAATATTATTATTATAGAAATAATATATAATGCTATTAAATATAATAAAATTATTATCTTTATTATAGTTGTTTTTATTATTATCATGATTATTATCATTGCTACTATTGTTACTATTATTAATACTATTATTAAAATAATGATAATAGAAGCACAAGTAAATAAATTAAAATAATAGAATAATAGAAACATAATATGATATGATAAGAATGATAGGAAATTAATTATTTATGATAAACATTGTTATTAAAATTAAATTTGTTATTATTATAAACAAACTTTAAAACTCAATTAACAATTAAGTCACTTAGTCTTATGGTTGTAGTTTCTCTATATTTTTCTCTTATAATGTAAATATACCTATTTCTTTCAATATATATTTATAATATAAATATAACATATATATATATATATATATATATATATATATATATATATATATATATATATATATATATATATATATATAAATATAGTTATATATACATATATATGTATATATATATATATATATATATATATATATATATATATATATATATATATATATATAATAATTTAAGGTAAAGATAAATATATATCTTTTCTTTTTAAATACATTTGTTTACTTTTATTATTTTATTGTAAGTCTATTTTATTTTTTTAATATTTGAATACATTATAATTGCTTATCTAAAAATAAAGAATTAAATATAGTTTGAAATCTGAGAGGTTAAAACAATGTAGTTTTCCCAAAGAGGTTAATACAATGTAGTTGTTGAAGTCAAAGTATGGCTTTCTTCATTGATTTTTATGGTGATTGTTTTGAAAATATCCAGAGATTTTGAAACAATGCTTCAGATCTCATTGTCTAATCTGCAGTTTTCACCTAATGAACAAGAAAAAATTTTTTGGAGTTTCTTGAAGTTTTTGAACCAATTGGAAACTGAAGAGTGTAATGAAAATGATGGTATGTACGTACAAGCCCAATTTCTCTTAACTTGAATTGAAATGAATTTGTTCATGTAAGTGAGAAGTTGTTTGTTCATCAGTTTTTTATTTAAATTTTACCTTCTAAACTTAATTAAAGTCATCTAAACTTGAGGAAGTATTATACTTATTCTAGAAAGAAATCAACTGGTAATGTAATATATATTTTTATTACTAAATTAGTTTACATTTGTCTTAAATAATAAAATATTATGTGACATCATTAAAATATATTTCATCAAAACAAACAGATTTTTGAATTGAAAAAAAAATGCAAAGATACTTATATAACTTTTAACTATTGTTAAAGAAAACAGCTATATCTAACTACTTACTATAGAAGCTAAAGAACACAGTATAACCAGGGGTGTGGAGTCATAACAAAAAAGTACCGACTCCTACTCCAATCGTTGAAATTTTCATATTATGACTCCAAACCAAAGCAAAATTTTTGAAAAATTCTTTGAATCCCTTAAAAAATATTATGCGATAAGTTAAAAATTTTATTTTTGCCAAATTTATGAAAAGTTCTTTGAGGTTTAGTATGAATATAAGGTTTATTGAATATTTTGTACATGCATGTGCAATACTGAAAAGTTTTACTATTGGAGTCGGAGTTGTGATTTTGTATATCGACTCTGGCTCCGACTCTACTAAAAAAGTTGTGACTCCGATTCCAAAGACTTGGTTATAACTCACTATTGAACATAAAAGTTATAGAACACAGCTATTACTCACTATTGAACATAGAAGCTATAGTACACAGAAATAACTTGACATGACTCAAGTGATGTGTAAATCAAACCAAAAATATAGAATTTATAGGTTGTACCAAAATTTTTAAAATTTATTATATGCATTATATGCAAAAAATGGTTAGCATTAATTTATATATAATATATATACAATCGTGGACAGGAAAGGTATGTGATCACACTCTATACCTGACCACCCAATATATATATTTTTGAAAGCTTGACTGTGGCTTTTTAAAACTTGAAAAAATGCGCTAATAAAACCTGATAAAAGAATGTTTTAATAAAATATTTAATATTTTTTATTTAAAAGAATAATTTAAGTTTGTTACTTTAATTTATAGCGTTTAAAAAGATTTTTTTTGCTCTTGTTTTATAAACTTTTCTTATATAGTTTCATTAAACTACTAGACTACTTCATTAAACTATTAGGGTAGTATAAAAATATTTAATTAAAAAGTTTACAACAAAAAACTTATGTTTTCTATTATTTCAACTTTATGAATTCAAAAAAAAAGTTCATTGAAACGCATTTGTTATCGTCGCTGTTTATAAAATTATTCAAACAAATTGTTTTCAAATATTTACATTCATCATAATTTAAATAAAATGTTTTTATAGTTTACAATCATTAAAAACTATTTCTCACTTTATTACTTTATTTTTCCATTTTTGAAGCTTTCTGTAGGGTCATCAGGAAGAAGATGGATTCTTCCTATTTTTGCGCTCAGTAGTATTTTTAAACCTTCCTAATCCTGCATGACGTTGAATTCTACCTGTTATTTTAAATGTCTTTAGAGTATATCTGACGAAATTCTCAGAAATTTTTGTTTAGTTCAATAGTTTTTTTTAATTAATGTGGTTTAGATTTACCATTTAATTAAATCACAATATTGTTATTTAACAAATTAATTTTAAAAATTACTTATTGCTATTAGTTGTTTTCAGGGATGTGGAGTCTTAAAAATGATGCCCAATTTGAATGTCACAAAATGATTACTTCTTTCTAGTGTTTGGTATCCAGGAACTCTAATAATATAAAAAGCACTTATGGACCACTATTGGTAAATAAAGTTAAGACTTTTAAGTTAGAGGAACAATCACTTTTCCGTAGTCCTTAGGTATAATGGTGGCTAGAACTCCGGGACTTTAGAACTCCATGCTTAAAAACAATATGTTTCAGGTAATTAAATTTTGTTTTTTTTATAAAGCAGATCATAAATCAACCAACAATTTCAGAGCTTCTGAACACCAGACACCAGAAAATAATAGAGATATAAAGCCGGAGTTTTTAATAGAGATATATAGCCGGTTGTTTTTAGCATTACTTTTAAGTATTGCTAATTTTAATCATTATCACATGATTTCCTTTTTACATTTTGTTTAAAAGATTACTATTATTTTCTTTATTGACCTATATAATATACTATACTACTATACTATAAAAATAATGGATTACTATACTGCATATAATGTGCTTATATAAACATACCATTATATAAATAAAGATGCCCTTGAGCAATTTGTATTTCTTTTAAAAAGATAACCTTATTTATTTTTCAAAATGTTCTATACACAAATGTAACTCATTAATTAACTCATGAGTTTAAATTCACTCATTAGTTTAAATTGAAATGTATATTTAAATTGAATTGATAGTTGGGTCTTTCCATGCAGAGTGGAGTAAAAGTCCTTTATAGACAGGGTTCCAACACCTCCTTAAAAACCTTAAATATCCTTAAAAAATAAAAACCTCCTTAAATGTCCTTAAATAACCTTAAAAAAAGTTAAAATTTGACTGCTCTCCTTAATTTTTCCTTATTTTTTTTAATCATCTAGAAAATTTTTTTAAAGTGAATGGATTATACTTGTTAATAAAGAAGATAATATATAGATTTTAGATAGTAATAATAATTTCTCTGTTTATATTTAAAATTTATTGAAAAAATAAGATTGTGTTTTTTAATGTAATCGTTTTCTCCTTAATTATTCTTACTTTTTCTTTCAAAAAAATGTTGTTTGCGACCAAATCTCCTAAATTATTAGGAAAATATCTTCTTAAATCTCCCTAAAATCCTTAATTTTAGCCTTAGTTTTAATAGTGGTAACCCTGATGGACCATTTTAGATTTCGCCGAAACTTTTTATTTTTTATACACAAATCAAAAAAAGATGTTTTGAAAATTCCAGATCAATTCTAATATGGTTCTTGAGAAAACATTATTTAAGTAATGCTCTATTTTGCATAAAATTTTACTCTTTAAGAAAAATGTTTTTTATTTAACTTTTGAACAAATTGCTTTTATTTCTTATATGCTTTTATTTCTTATAAGTTGTTATTGCTTATATTTCAATTATTTAAAGATAGCATGAATGTTATAGACACTTATAGAAAAACAAAATAAAATCTGGCAATTGATATTTTTGTTTTAAAATTAAAGCTATTTATGATTATAATTAAAAAAAAAAAATTAATTAGTTTTAAAATTATTACAAATCAAATTGCCTGTTGATTGACACATTTTTTTAGCATTTTTTTTTAAATCAAGAACTGCATTCAAAAGTTATAAACTATATATATCACAATTCAAAAAAAAATCTTGAACAGGCTCATAAATGTGAGCTGGATCAAGATTTTTTTTTAAATTAATCCCTAATGCAAACCATCTGTTATCTTAGATATCACTTTTTTTCCAATCCAAGAGTGTTTTTTGATAAAAATAAAAAAATTAATCTTCACTTATTTATAACCCCTAAACGTAGTCTAAAAATTAAGTGAATTTTCAATAAAAAATTTTTTAAAAAATTATTAGTTTATTGAATTTTCAAATACTGATGTCATTCTAAAAATACTAATAGAACCAAAAAAATTTTTGTTTTAGAAATAATTTATGATGAGTAGTATGCCTGAGGTTATCCTTGTTCTATTGGTAAATCGTAACTGTGTTATCTTATTAAATTTAGCAAAACTAAAAAAATTAATCTTTTAAACAACTGTCTAAACTAAACTAAGAGCTTTTTTGAAAAGCAAAGTAAATCTGATAAAAGCTATTTGTAAATATCAGTAGTAAGTTTACTTGTTGAGCTACAAAAATGAACATTGAAGGCATTGTTGAAATCCTTTGAAAAAGCGTACAAAAAAAAGTAAAAAGTTTCAAGTCTTTTCCTATGGGTGGTGTTTCTGGTCTGCAGTTCTAGTCTGTAACATAAAAACGTAAAGGTTCTTGTTCAGAAAACTCCAGGAGTAGCCTATTACAAAAACTTATTGAATTAAATGGTAGAATTAAAAATAGAGATTGTATGCAGCATAGCTGTGATAAATGTCCTAGAAAATAGGTTTGTCTGATTAAATTGGTAAATTTTTTAATGAAAATAAACTTAGTGAAGTTAATTTTTATCAATGACAAAAAGCAACAACTTTACCTTGAAACTGAGATGCTGTTTATTGCTTTATAAATTATGCTATTAAATAACTAATTAAATAATTACAAACATTTGAACATATTGTGCATTTTAGTAATAAACCTGCATCACAATATAATAATTACAAAAATATTACAAACTTATTCTACCATAAAAAAGATTTCAACATTACTGCAAAGTTTATATATGCAAAATCAAAATGTTTCAGCAAAATCTAAGATGCTTTATGAAAACCTCATAAAAATTTAACTGCAGGTTAAATTTTTATGAGGTTGATGATGTGAAAACTATTTTAAACACCTTCAGTTGATATAAGATCTCTATTTACTGAACTTAGGAATGGCCTTGACTAATTTTTCTTCCAAGACACAGTAAACTAGTTTTTATAAATTATCTGCTCACCAGTAATCTTTATTGCAGAGATATGAGTTGATTTTGGAGGAAACCTTCTTTAAAATTTCCAACCTTCTATAAAAACCTATATAATTTCCAATGTAATTTTTCAAATTTTTTCCATTAATTATTGAGTTTACAACATCCCGTTAAAAGTTTTAATATGGTTTACAATACAATTTACAAATAGTTGATGTAAAGCATGTGTTTATTAATGTTTGAATTATGCATTAACTTTTCCATTTAATCTTTTTTTATGTAAAATTTGAAAGAATTGCATTTACAAAGAAGTATTGAGTTTTAATAGTGAATAATAACACATACACAGTGTGTATCACTTGGTATCATGCTGATACACCATCTTGGTGTTAAATACAAAACTTTGAAAATCTGATTTAAAAATGAAGGTA